AAAAAAAAAAAAAAGAACAAGTAGATATAAACAATACAATTTTTGTCTTTGTCAACCTTTTAATTATATTCATGGTAAACGTAGTGTTACCAAGCCCATATCTGTAAATAAAAGTACATGTATTCTCTCAAACGGATGCAGTAAAATTAAATATCGAAGTAACTTTCGAGGCCGTTTGATGTATCTTTTATTTTGGAGGACGTTTCCCGGAAGTGGTGCGTGACTTTGTGAAACTTGACAGAATTCCTTGTGTTGTTGAGGTGTCCAGGCAGCGACTTTAGTTTCTGTACAGGGAAAAGTAGGAGATGAAAATACACTGAAGAGTTACAGAAACAATGAAAAACAATTATGACTTTATTAGAACTTTACACGAAGGTAAGAAAATAAAACCGCTTTTCTTAATAGTATCAAGATAATAGGCTATAAGCTCCATATGTTTGTGTTTTGAGGTGACTAGAGACATATGGAAACTTTGTCGATGCTTGGCATGTTTTAAAGATTTATTTAAGAGTGGATTTGTAAAAAATGTAAACTTATTTTGAACAATGTTTTAAAAGTTGAATATAAAGTATATGTTTGAGCTTAAAATAGTCATTTTTATGCTGTATTTGACACAATAACTCTTGTAGAGTCTTATCCTGTCACCTTGTTTCCTCCAGTATAACAGAGTGTGGATACCAGATGCAGATCACGTGTGGAAATCAGCTGAAATTACTACAGATTTCCATCCTGGTGATGATGTTCTTGAGCTACTTCTTGAAGATGCCACTGTAAGCAAATAAAAATTCCAAATAAAACTTTTACGAGTAACTGGAATGATTTTACAAGCATGAAAAGCAGTAGCGGACATGACTTTTCTCGCAACTTGTCCCTCCAACAGGAGTACCGGTTCCCTGTTGACCCATCTCAACCACGGCTCCCTCCTCTACGAAACCCGGACATCTTGGTGGGTGAGAATGACCTCACCGCTCTCAGCTACCTGCACGAGCCTGCAGTGCTGCACAATCTCAAAGTGCGATTCGTTGAATCCAGGATCATCTATACCTACTGTGGTATGGCTGCAAGAAGCCTTTTATTCTCTCTTCAGTCTGTTCACCGAGCTGCACTTGTCAGTTTGTGCTCTTCTGTTTCCTCTGTTCAGGTATTATTCTGGTCGCTGTAAATCCCTACAAACAGCTTCCCATCTACGGAGATGCAATTATTCATGCCTACTCGGGTCAGAACATGGGGGACATGGACCCTCATATATTTGCAGTGGCAGAGGAAGCGTACAAACAGATGGCCAGGTAATAAAACCCTCAGACAATCGCTTTAAAAGATAAAGTTGTGGAAGTTTAAAATTTCTCTCTTTCAGAAATCATAAGAACCAGTCTATCGTTGTGAGCGGAGAGTCTGGAGCCGGTAAAACGGTGTCGGCTCGATACGCTATGAGGTACTTTGCTGTTGTGAGCAAATCTGGAAGTAAGACTCGAGTGGAAGACAAAGTGTTGGCTTCTAACCCAATAACAGAGGTTTGGTTTTTATCAAATCAAGAGTTTCACTTAATTATAGTGACAAGTTAAAATAAATTTACAACTCAAAATGTGCATAGTTGATCATTATTATTATTGTTTTTTTGAAGGCCATAGGAAATGCAAAAACAACTCGAAACGACAACAGCAGTCGGTTTGGAAAGTACACAGAGATCAGCTTTGACAAGAAGTACCGGATCATTGGAGCAAACATGAGGACTTACCTGTTAGAGAAATCCAGAGTTGTTTTTCAGGTGGTTTATAAATTTAAGATTAAATTTTTTTTACAAGAATATGTGTTTAGTTTATTAATATTTGATCTATAAAGTAATTTTAATAGAAGTTTTTCTATGTTTTTTTTCTAGGCAGAGAACGAGCGCAATTATCACATTTTTTATCAAATGTGTTCATGTGCAGACTCCGAGGAGTTCAAGAACCTGAGACTGTGTGAGTGTTTGTACTGATGGGTTCATCCTGAACGATTGACAAAGAGCTGCCTTATAAAATGTATCAATCAATCAATCAATCAATCAATCAATCAATCAGTATAACTTCATTGTCAAAACATTCCATTAAATGAAAAATCGTCTTTGACATCTGGCTCGTACATACGACACAAAACAAAGTTAAAAATACCATAAAACTTTTAAAAGCTTACTAGAACATTCATAGAAACCCAATAAAAACATTCTAAAATACATTAAAAACCTAAAACTATTTCAATGGACAATGGTTTGTCATATAAGGGTCACAGTGAAGGAAGGGAACAAATGTTTTTTTTGTGGCCATTTTTTTGTCTTCTCTCCCTGACGTAATATAAAACTCTAAATTAATTTATTTTTCCTCAAAAATCGTAATGTTTTTTAGTTTAAACATTGAATATGTTTACTGTGTTTCATTATGATTAAAATATAGGTTTAAAATATTAGCAAAATAAAACATTTTTTAAATTTTACATTTTCCACAATGTCCACAATGTTGGGGTTTCCCTATACTGGGTGGAGAAACATTGCGTTAGGTAGAAGAACAAGCATTATTATCATTTGTCTTTCAAGTTTATTCTGCTGCATTGCATCATTAATTTAAATTACAAATGATTTAAAATAATTTTTTAAATAAATAATAAAAATATTTTTTATCTTTTTTTCATTTAGTAAACATGAGATATGATTAATGTGGTGCTCCTTCTTCAAGGCTGAGTTAAAAAAATAAATAAAAACTTTTTTTTTGAAGAACTTATTGGTTGGCCAGATTGTAGTCACTCGTGGGCCAAATGTGGCCCATGCATCACCAGTTGACTAGCCCTGACTTATAGTGTTGTAAAATGTTTGTAACAGGACTGTTTGTTTGCAGTGAGTGCAGATAAGTTCAGATACACTTGTATGGGTGGGGACATCGCCATCGATGGTGTAGTCGACAAGAAGGACATGGAAGAAACTCGACGGACCTTCTCACTGCTGGGTAGACAAGTCCTTAGTTCTCCAACTGCGTTTTGCTTTTGATAAACTTGTTTTTACTGATGGTTTTTCTATTTAATGTTCAGGTTTAAAAGAGGACTTTCAGACAGACGTTTTTAAAGTTTTAGCAGCGATTCTGCATTTGGGAAACGTGGAGATCCGAAGCGTGGGAGATGAGAAATCATCAGTTCCTGTGAGTTTTTCATGAACGTTCAGCGACGTTAAAACTTTACCCAGACTAAAGGAAATGTTTGATGTGTGCGTCCTGCAGCCCAGCGATCCTCACCTGACAGTCTTCTGTGAGCTGCTGGGTGTGAAAGCAGACGAGTTGGTGCGTTGGCTGTGCCACCGGCGGATCGTTCTGGTGACGGAAACGGTGGTGAAGCCGGTGCCCAAGGAGCGAGCGGTAAACTCCAGAGATGCCCTGGCGAAGCAGATCTATGCCCACCTGTTCCACTGCATCATCCACAGGATCAACACAGCGCTGCAGGTTCCTGGAAAGCAACACGCTTTCATTGGTGTTCTGGACATTTACGGGTAATCCAAATACGACATCTGTTTCGTTTTATTCTCTGCTCCTTTCCCTGTCTTCACACTAACGTGTGGTTCATTTGTCCTCAGATTTGAAACGTTTGACGTCAACAGCTTTGAACAGTTTTGCATCAACTACGCAAATGAAAAGCTCCAGCAGCAGTTTAACCTGGTACACAGCACCATCAGCTACC